GAGAACAACTTAGAATACATAACTCTTTGTCACGAAACACAACAGAAAAACTTCCAAGGAGGTATTGCATCTGATGAAGCTCCTTCTGGAAAGCGTATATACGAGGTTCCTAGAAGTGAAACCTGTCCTGTAAAAATGTTGCGCTTGTTAATGAGCAAGACAGATCCCAGTGCTACAAGTCTATTTAATACATGTTTCAAGGATGCCCTATTGAACTCTGGATCTGACCTCTGGTATACTTCCAAACCTTTGGCAAAGAGATCATTCAGTGGCTATATGTCCGATATTTGCAAGTCATCTAAATGTCTGAAGTCTTACACCCCTCACTGCTTGAGAGCCACGGCTATTACTGCAATGAGTGATCATGGATTCGAGTCACGACAGATAATGTTCATGAGTGGACATCGTAGCGAAGCGTCTCTAAAAACCTACAATCGAAATTTGTCAAATGAGCAAAAAAGATCCGTAAGTTCATGCCTGTCTCTGCTAACAAATCCTGATCAAAATGGCAATCATAGCAACACCAACCTTTCGTGCAGTGCATCCACGACGTTCACTCCATTAGCTTCTTCCTCCGTTTCTCCTCGTGAACAAGAAAAGCATTTCTCTGAAATTCCAAAGGAAAATCATCCTGCTTTTGATGCTAGTTCTTCCGTCAGCACCTCCATGTCGTCTGATTTCCTCTCAAAGTCTGTTTTCAATCACTGTGTTTTTAACTTCAAATAGACGCCTTGGGACCTCTTTACTTCAACGGAAGTAGTGACATTCCGCAAAGTTTTCCCCGATTTTTTCAAAATACACAGTAATTCTCTTGTAGTTTTACTTTTGTAAAAAATACAATGTTCATTTAACTTAAACTACTGTTTATTTTTAATCAGTGTTAATTAAATAGTTGAAATATATGGAACTACTTTTTGTTACGTCATTTTAACTGAAGCGCTTATCTAGGTCAATCAGAGGAATGTATGGAAAAGCGTTGTAGGCATCAATTCGCAACAAGTGTAAATATAAGTAATAAGGTATCATTTTTTTGAGTTTTATTGGGATGTAAAACGGGTTGGCACATGATCAAATCTTCCATAAAGCCCTTCGGGCTTTATGGGATTTGATCACGTGACCAACCCGTTTTACATCCCAATAAAACTCAAAAAATGATACCTTATTTCTTAATTGTCTCCCAAATTGTGCACACTGTTGAAAAACCACGACTATGACGTCGTTTCCACCATATTAAAACATAATTGTATGATTATCCGCTGTTCCATTCAAATGACCTACGTCGCTTTTTCTGTCAATTTTTGAAGCATATTTCTTCCGGGTTTTCTTAATATTTTCACTGTATGTCCAGTAAGTGATGACGATATTCGATTAATTTGCGTCATATTTCATTTTTTTAAACTTTGACTAGTTTTATTAAGAAAATAATCATTTTAATCCAAAAACTTTATTTCAAAGTTTATGCCATTTTTACCCTTGTCCATACGCACTATTCGCGACCTTTACAGATTTTTTTTCAAAAATATTAAGTTCAAACAATTAAAACCAAACTATTATGACTTGGATTTTCATAAAAAATATTTTTTTTTATACAATAAGTATATTTAGGATCATTCAGATGGACAAAAACGTCATTGTCCACGTACTTATGGACAACCCTCGTATTTAAATTTGAAAGGTTTAATTTAAAGTTTTATAGTATTTTAAAACACTTCTTTTTGAATTGTATCGAAAGAACATATGTAATACAAGTAAACTATACGTAACGATAATTGACTGAATATATGATCTACTCGTTACACTAAAAATTATTTCTATTTTATTACTTCTGTTTTTAAAGGAATGGGAGAAAGTGTGAATGTTGATGAATTAAAAATGATAGCATCTAAACCTTCAAACATGTTCATGGAAAAATCCGTCACTGTTAACAGTATTGCACAAACAATATGTAATGGTAAGGCATCTATGGTCTTTTTTTTATTTGGAAGAATACTTGACATAATTTGTCCCATTTTTTCCTCTTGAACAATTATTTAATTATTAATTTCATTTTAAATTTTTATGGGTAATATATGACCCTTGCTTTTGCTTTTGTTTTTCAGGCGCGATTAATGATCAAGAAAACAAAATACCCTCCAACAATCAGGGTAGGTTGAGTGACTTTTTCTCCTGGCAAGATTCCTTCTGAACCTTTTTTACATAGATTGGATGTGAAATTCCATGTAAAAAGTTTTACATGAAGCGAAATCTTGCAAAAAGCTAAAATTTTTAAAAAGCATTATCTTAAACATATAAGTACGTTGACAAACGTTTTAAGTTCATAGATATTAACTGTATTCTATGTTGCATTATTGATTTGCTTTTCAACTTTTTTTATCTTAAGATACTAGTTCGATAAAATAATGGTATTTGTTATTTATAATATACTGGTATTTGTTATTAAATATCTGATCTTTTAGATTGTAGTGGAGCATTCGACATTGTTTTTGTTCTGGACAGTTCCTGGAGCCTTAACAGTGAGAAAAACTTTCAAAAGGAACTCCACTTTGTGACAGAACTTGCGAATGATCTTCGCCTCGATTTTAATCATGCCTCTGCGTCAGTGATTACATACGCTGACGAGGCAAAGGAACACATCTTTCAAAATGGAAACGATTTTATGCAAACAGTTCTAAACTTGCCGTGGATTGGAGGAAACACAAATACAGACAAAGCTCTTAGTATACTTTTACAACATGTTGAACGGAAGACGAATTCTGTCCAGTCCGATTTTGGAAGACCGCTTGTTGTCATACTTATCAGTGATGGGGGATCGACCAGTCCCTTTAGGTTAGAAGAGGTTGTGTCCAGACTTAAGAAATATAAATTTGTCAAACTGTTTGCAATAGGTGGGTTTTTCTTCTTTACTAGCGACCATAGCTCAGAATATGCTTCAATGGAATTTTAAAACTTAATCTAATTTTTGACACTAGTAAAGATAGACTTATGATAGATTGTATAAGATAAACTATAGACAATCTAAATTTTATTCCAAAATTAAAATTGGTAGAGACTATATGAAATTTTTGAATTCATTAAAAGCACTGCCCAACAATCAATAATATGATGAAGTAAGAAGTTAATGGTATGAATTTTGGAAGCAAGGTTTACTTTAAAGGTGTGGGAGTAAGCATCAATACAAAAGAGCTGTCAATGATAGCCTCAGATCCCTCCGACAATCACATGTTTATGGTAGACGATTTAGGAGTCAACAATAAGATCCTCAAATCACTCCTGACATCGCAGATCTGTCGAGGTATATGCTTTTGAAATCTTGATGATGCTTGAGAAAAAAAAGACCATTTCATAAATACCTTTAATGTAAAATACATTTTACTTTTTATTCAGATGCAAAGTATTTATCTTTGGCGTCCCCAACCGCCTCCTTTAGTGAGTAATCAAACAATAGTTTACATTTTCATCATTCACACACAATAGTGTAATCTCTTCTTTACACAAACTGTCTAACTATTACAAATACTCACTGACTATAAATTCAGCTTTAGTTCATTTGGTTCTATTAACTCTGCTTCAGTCTATTTGGCTCTTTCTCCCTAACTTTGGATGTTATAGGTTGCCCGTCCCATGCTGATCTGGTTTTTGTGTTAGATAGTTCCTCCAGTCTGGGAATTGTTGGTAATCCTGATTTCAACTTCCGGAAGGAGGTTGCATTTGTAATTGACGTCATCAAAGAAGGCATTACAGACTTTAGAAAATCACGTGTGTCTGTTATTACGTTCAGTGACGTCATGACATTAAATCAGTACTTCGATGAAGATGATTTGATTAAAAATGTAACACGCCTTCCCTTCCTTGGAGGAAATACATATACCGACATCGCGTTGGAACTAATGCTAGACGAGTTAAGATACCTCAATTCTGTTTCCAATGCCAGAAAACCAGCAGTTGGGATAGTTCTTACAGATGGACATTCAACAAGACCAAAGCTTACTTCAAACATGACGAGAAGAATTCATGAGAGCGGTTTTAGGATAGTGGCAATTGGTATTTTTTATGTGTCTTTAAAAGTTTTACAATTTTTTTATATAATTTTATGATTTCTTTCAAATTAAATACATGTATCTTCTTTCTTTAATAGAATAACTATATATATATATATATATATATATATATATATATATATATATATATATATATATATATATATATATATATATATATATATATATATATATATATATTCTAATGATTCTCTATTACAGGCGTTAGTTCACACGCCGACATGCGTGAACTGACAGATATTGCCTCCTCACCGAAGAGCAACAATGTGTACCTACTGGATACTATAGACATTCAGAATTCGTTTCTGCCGAGTTTTCGCAACAATTGTTAAAGAAGACTCATGATATTCAGCAAGCCTAGTCAAATACTAATTAGTTTAACGATTCGTCTTTATGTTAATTTTGGGTTGTGGCCAAGTCATCCGTAGTGCTTTCAAATGAATCTTTGTTTATTGGTTTCCCACCAATTCTCAGGGTACTTTTAATGTGATATTTAGTTGTTAATTAATTTATAAAAATGAATTGCTGTTTGTGAACACGAATGTGTCTTTTTGTAATATTTCAAAAATCAAGTATGAAACATATGCTACAATAAGCACTAATTTATTTCCTCTTTACCTTTATTTCTAAATATCCAAAAGTAAAGTTTATCTATTCAATTTCAAAATAAAAATGTTGTTTTCTTATAAAAAAAAAATAAATAACGATAATTTCTTTGAAAAACAGGCCAAAATGTTTTTTAAAAACTTTTTAAAAATGTTTATACGTGTCTTATAAATCCAACATTGAATCAATATGACTTATATCAGGGATGTGAAACAATATTATCTCTGTTGTATCTGTGTCACTGTCCTCAGTTAAAATTCTAAAGTTTCAATCGAATTATGTTTTCAAAATGTTATAAGTGATGTTTTGCTAACTTTTTTGTTCACAATATTTTAGCCCCACCGTCAGACTGTAAGTTTACATTCGTGTTGTCTTTTGCATGTCGTAGAATTTAATAACTAACATTTTATTGCACCGTATGTATTGGACCCCACCCTTGCATTAACGTTCCATCCCTGCCACCACACATTTACTTACAATTTATTCAATAATCTGTGATTTTATAATTTAATTATGTAAGATTTTACAATATTTTATTTTCCTGTAAACGCATGTTCAGAAAAAGAATCATTTTTTTCAAGCTGCATGTGAAATAGGACTCCATTAATTTTAGCATTGAAATAAAATCATTGTAACAAATCCTTCAGAATCTAAGATAACTTTAAAATATATTTATATATCATTAATTTGTAATTTTTTAATTATACTAGGGGACGGATTGTGTAGGTAAAATTTGGGAAGGAAACCTTAAAAAAATCATTTAAAAGTAAATATACTTTGATTGTTATCTCAAGCCCATGTTATCATTGCAGTCCCGCGTTCTTTCTTAGAAGAAAAAAAAACTGATCCCAATATTTAGCATGGTATCTCAATCACATATAATTCAGATTAATAAATAGTCTCTGTTAACAATCACATAGAATTCTGATTGTTAGATAGTCTCAGTTAAAGGACTTCTTCATTGTACTTTTAGTTTGGACCTGACACCAGCTGATGACGATTTTGTTCTAGATAATTTGTAAACAGTAACATCTAATATGTTGACACTTTCTATAATGCTTGAGTGCAGTCGAGTTAGAGGAATATAAAGATATGTGTTTGTATATATGTAAAGTATTGAAGATTTGTATAAGATGGAAATTAATGTTACATCTAGCAGAAATTAATTTTACGTATACCAGAAAATGCTTTTGAAGTATGAATTCATTTTTTTTTTCTATTTCTTTAGATTATACAATTAACCTGATGGTATCGTCTCTGTGAAAAACAAAATTATGATTTCAGTAATATATAGTTCTCATGCTATCAAATACAAATTTCATAATCAAATGTAGTCCAACATGTCTGTCTTTGAGTGCTCAATATTTTTGTTAAACTTTCAAAATTGAATCAAGAAATGATTGTTTTTGGTTTTAGATAAATGCAATTATACTTCTCTTCAATATGAATATCATGTATTTGAAACACACAGCTAGCAGGTATCTTGGCATACAGTTACAGATTGTTCGAAGCCAGTAGATCTTGTTTTTGTTCTGGACAGCTCATGGAGTTTAATGGCCGCGACAAACTTTCTGAAGGAGCTCAAGTTTGTGACAGAAGTAGTGAACGCTCTGTCGGACAATATGGGTCAATCCAGAATTTCTGTGATAACTTTCAGTGACGATGCTGAAATGTCGATACCTTTGACAATGTTTACATCAAAGAGGGATTTTGTGAATAAAGTACTCAATCTGCCGTGGGTGGGTGGGAATACATACACTGATAAAGCGTTAGAAATGATGTATAAACAGTTTGACAGTATCCGAGTTCCGGGAAGGCGGAGTGTAGGCGTGGTCATTACTGATGGAGGGTCCACTAACCCTTTCAGGACACAGTCAGTCATCAAAAAGGTCAAGCAAAGAGGAATCACAATGTTTGCAATAGGTAGGATATGATGCAATATATATAAACAAATGTGTATATATATATGTGTGTGTGTGTGTGTGTGTTTTCTCTGTTATAACTCTGAGAAAGTAAGGTGAGTGAATTACACCTGAATGTGAATTTCGCCAAGTGAAAGATCAGGAGCCTAAAATGCATGTCAATCTCGTGCGGTGTCTTTGTGTCTGACGTCAGTGGGCGGTGACTTTTGAAATTAACATGGAGTGCCTCGATCGTGTATTTTAAATTAGCATTTTTAAATTTATATTTACAATTTTATTTCATATATAAATGTAATATAAAGAATTACTGTCTAGTATGTTGGGTATACCAGGGCATCAACGATAGGTGGAAACGTGGGATAATTTGCATATATAACGGGCAAAGCCCGTTATGCATAAATTATCTCACGTTTGCAACTGTCGTTGATGTCCCTGGCATGCCCAACAAACTAGACAGTGATTCCTAAAATATAGTCAGCTGAAAATTTTTAAACGGAAATATTTGATAATAACATATTACAATTTTTGTAAATCATGGTATGAAATATATCCTTTTTCTTTTATAAATTATGATAAAGTAAAACAATAATGCGAAAGATTTGTGTTGTATGAAAACGCAAGGTGCCCTATATATGTTGAAAGGATGCTTTTATCGGGGATTTAAACAATATTTCATTTAATACGTAAGTAATAGATACAATTACAAGTTTATGCGTAATCGAAATTTCAGTTTTAACACTGTTATAGGAGTTGGAATGAGTATAAACCAAGAAGAGCTACAGATGATGGCATCTGATCCAGTGAGTGACCACAAGTTCTTGGTGGATGACCTTGATGCCTTACAGATGTTAAGAAGTACCATAGTTTCCAGGCTATGTCCAGGTGGTCTTTCTCGCTGTCCAGTCTGTAAATTGTTGCTAATAGTCAAAACAACGTTTCCTTGTAGGGTTTACTACGGGGTTGGGGTTTTTATTTTATATGACTCAAACGAAACCAAAAATTATTTTTAGGATTTAAGGGTTTTGGAGTCTTTATTTTGTATGAAACAATGAAATACAAACCAGGATAGACTTTATTTCTTGTAGTCACTTAGAATGATAATACCTAAGTCAAATAATATTTGTTTTAATGTGTTTCCACAGCATTAGGGATTTGATTCTAATGACGCACGACCGTGTATATTTTTTGTAACATACACATATCTATGTATTGCATGTTAGGAATATATACTCATTATTAAAACTTTTCAGGTCGTTCCACTCGACCGCCAAGTAAGTATAATACTTTCTAATGATGCATGAAGGTATAATTATGTACGGTTTCACTGGTTTAGCATGATAGATGTTTACTAATGATTTAACCTTTTCAGTCCGCCAATTTGACCGCCAAGTATCACACTGCTCTGATTTATGGACAATTCATCGCCATCAGTAGTTATTAGCTATGTAGTTTAATTGCTGCATTTAATAGATTTATTTGCTTGTGTACATTTTGTCAATGAACATTTAAAATGATTCTGTATATCATGCGTAGTATTTGTTAAAAGTTAGAAACACTTTTTTTTTAAAGAATTCAATTTTGAATATTCAATATTTTTTCAGATGGTTTGAGTACTTTTCCGATCAAAATATGTCTCTTTTGCTTCTTCATATCATTGACTTAACATAATCGGTAATATTTCAATAATGTCATAATAACTACTTGTATATATAGCATTTCAGAGTCGCAGTTTGTTGCTTCAAAATATTCATTATTTTTAAAACAAATTGATAATCATTTTTCTATTTTTCTTTCATTATTTGTCACATATGGCTAAAACGCTTGTGTCTCATGCCTTTTTAATTCATTCAAGCACGCAGTTGTTACAGCTTTCACGACAAAATACCCAAATCATCACAATATTACTTGTGCAATGTTGTTAAATCATTCATGAAACATAAAAGAACAACGATCACCATCATGCTTGTTATTTAGTTACTTAAAAGGTCAACTAGTATCTACTAGAAGCTTTCGAAAGAACAGCATCTAATTAAAAACTTAGCAAAACTTAAAAATATATGAATATTTGAAGGAATAGTTTTTCTCTATAGGGTAGCTTCATCAAAAAAGGAATATACGTTAAATAATTATGTCTTTGTTTACGTGTTTTTGTAAGGGTGTTTAAATTCTTTCAACTTTAATTTTTGCTTTCCTATAATTTATGTGTTATTAACTACTGGAACATTTATCTTAACAACAAAAATATCTTGAAACATTCTATTGGACCGAAAAAGAAAATTATATACCTGTATCAAAATTAAATAATATATATGGGTTTTTTTAATATTAAATCTTCATAATTTGAACAGTATGTGAGAGTGATCCTGCTGATATCTTCTTCATCGTTGACAAGTCCTCCAGTCTTCAAAGCCAAGAAAACTTCAACAAGGAACTTTCCTTCATTGCTCGTATCATCGACAGCATCATCGTTGGGACGGGACGCGATGATTCTCGAGTGGGGCTCATCTCTTTCAGCACTAATGCTTCCTTGTCATTCGGATTGTCAGCTTACACAACAAATGATGCCGTTAAGGATGCTCTTCTGAGAGAGAAGTTCACCACTGGAGATACGTACACACACAAAGCTTTCAACATCATGCTTGAACAATTTAGAAACACTGCAAGACGTGATCCTCGTGTCAAAAAAATCGGTAATTGTGAAACACGATACTATTTTTAATTACATAGAATTTCAAATTTTTCAATCAAAGAATTGAAATTGTGCAATTAATATTTTTTGGTTGTTTGCTTTAGCCCCTGGGCCAAAAACTCACTTGAGCTTTTTCTGATCGAATCGTGTCTGGAATCTCTGTCATGTGTTTTCTGTAAACTACCTGTGTATTTTTTTCTCTTAAAAAGAACAGTGACATATTACTTATATTAATAGTATATCGATCCCATGTTGTGAAGATTCAAATTTGTTCAAATCAAAGCTGTTTTGGCTCAGGAAGAGCATCAATAGGGATCAGAAATTTATTTTAAATATATAAGGAATAAATTTCAAAAGACTTCTCAGGAATAATAGGGTCTATTTTTAAGATCAAGTCCACTTGGAATAGGATGGGGTCACAAGAAACTATTTTTAAAGTTTTAGCAAGGTAATAACAAAGAAAACAAAGTGTGTTTGTGAAACACTTATGCCCCCGTATGTCAGCTCAAGGCTAAAGTTAAAAGTTTTTTTAAATGTAGGTCAAACTTCAACTCAAGAATTCAAAAATGTCGGTACACACTGCAGGGCGTTTAGTGGAGAGGGAAGCAATGTCTGATTATTCCTCGTAACTTTTTTTAGGTCACCTGAGTCGCTCAGGAGACCTATTGCTATCCGTTTTAGTCCGTCGTCGTCCGTCGTGCGTCATGCGTTAACATTTAAACATTTTCAGCATTTTCTCTGAAACCGCTCAACCAATTTCAACCAATTTTGGCATATAGCATCTATGGGTGAAGGGGGACAAAAATTTTATGGTCCCTGTCCCCCTGGGGCCTAAGGGGTGGGGCTAAAACCACCAAAATTAAAGCAATCTTTAATAATCTTCTTCTTTACTCCTGGGCATCAAGCAGTCAAACTGCTGGCATGATTGTAATAAGCATTGAGCCCTCTACCAAAATTGTGAAATTCATTGCCCCAGGATCAGGGGTTCTGGTGCTAGGGTGGGGCTATATAGATCATATAGTGAAAGTGCATTATTTCTTTAAAAATCTTCATCTCTGCTCCTGGGTATTGGATAAACTAACTAAGTACATAGTTATGTAGAGCAAGACTGCCTCTTCCAAAATTGTGAATTTCATGGCCCCTGGGTCAGGGGTTCTGGTGTTAGGGCGGGGCTCTATTGATTATGTAGTGAAAATGCATTAATTCTTTGAAAATCTTCTTCTCTGCTCCTGGGTATTAAATGAACTAAGTAAGTACATAGTTATGATGAGCAAGAGTGCCTCTTCCATAACTATGAATTTCATGGCCCCTTGGTCAGGGGTTCTGGTGTTAGAGTGGGGCTCTATTGATTAAATAGTGAAAATGCATTAAATCTTTGAAAATCTTCTCCTCTGCTCCTGGGAATGAAATAAAGTAACTAATTACATAATTATAATGAGCATGACTGCCTTTTCCAAAAATTGCGAATTTCATGGCCCCTGGGTCAGGGGGTTCTAGTGTTAGGGCGGGGCTCTATTGATTATATAGTGAAAATGCATTATATCTTTGAAATTCTTCTTCTCTGCTCATGAGTATTAAATAAATTAACTAAGTACATTTTTATGATGAACATAGCTGCTTCTTCCAAAATTGTGAATTTCATGGCCCCTGGGGCAGGGGTTCTGGCTTTAGGGCGGGGCTCTATTGATTATATAATGAAAATGCATTAAATCTTTGAAAATCTTCTCCTCTGCTTCTGGGTATGAAATAAAGTAACTTAGTACATAGTTATAATGATTATGGCTGCCTCTTCCAGAATTGCGAATTTCATGGCCCCTGGGTCAGGGGTTCTAATGTTAGGGCGGGGCTCTATTGATTAAATAGTGAAAATGCATTAATTCTTTGAAAATCTTTTTCTCTGCTCCTGGGTATTAAATAAACTAACTAAGTACATTGTTACGATGAGCATGGCTGCCTCTTCCAAAATTGTGAATTTCATGGCCCCTGGGTCAGGGGTTCTGATGAAGGGAGGGGGGCTCTAATCTATTAATTATATTGTGAAAATTCATAATTTCTTTCAAAATATTTTTTTCTACTCCTGGTTATAAAGCAAAGAAACAAGCGTATAGTTATGATGAGCAAGGATGCTTTTACAAAATTTTTAAAACTTGTGGTCCCAGGGGTTCTGTTGTTTCTCGGGGGGGGGGGGCTCTTTTTGATAATATAGTGAAAATGTGTGAATTCTTTGAAAATCTTCAACTAATTGCATAGTTATGATGATGAGGGTACCTCTTCCAAATTTGTAAATTTTCAACATCTGGACCATTTAGTCAAGTGTTCTGGTGCTGGCCAGGGCTCTATTAATTTGTATTCTATTGAGTAAAGTTATTCCCCTTTGCCATTCACTTTTGATAATTAATCACTGTAGATAATGTATTTGAAAGGTTAATAGAATAAGAGAATTATGCAAGAACATTTATTGTATAATATAAAAAGTACTTTCATAGTTTTAATAATCAGGTAGACTTGGAAATAATAGATGAATAAAAATGAAACAAAAATAACTTATCTTCTTAAATGTTCTTCAAAGGCTAAGTGAGGCCAATGTGAGAAGTAATAATATAGACATTTTGTTAAACGTCTGCATGGTAATAGTGATAAATGGGGGACAGATAGAAAGATACTAGACCAATTATTTTGTTGATCTTAATCGTACTAATTTTCTTGCTATTGGGCAACAATTAAAGCTTCATTTATCAGTTTATGGATCCTCTAAATTGTTGTACTCAGGTGACCATTAAGGCCCTTGGGCCTCTTGTTCTGTATATGCTGATTTTTTACAGGCTTCATTGTGACGGATGGACAGTCTACGGACCCTAATACATTAAAGCAATATATTGAACAGGTCAAGGCCACAAATATCGAAATGTATGCTGTTGGTAAGTACGCATATTCCCATTAATTGATTGACTGATCGTTTTTTGCCAAAGTGTTTCACTCCTACGGATTCGACATTAGAATGAGGATTGTAAATTGTAAATTCGCATCAAAGCTGTTAGAGCATTGTTTAATGTAAATACACCGACCGTGACACAGGACAAGGTTTTAGTTACCCTGATCGGTTTTTCTGTAAATTTTTCATTTGTTAACTTGTTTAATTTATAACATCTAGGGTTAGGGTCGAGTCACAACAGAAAAGTTTTCTCTTCTTCTAAAGTCAAAAAAATGAATTTCTAGTATACACGTTAAATATCTGAAGTCATGTAATACAGATTCAAGTTAATGGGAATGAAGCCCCAGGAGTCAGGATGGGCCAAAACAGGAGTATGGATTTTACACAGAAATATAAGGCATTCATTGAATTAAGAATCCTACGTTTTGTATTTTTATTAAGCCCAAGGATTAAAATAATTATCCTGATATGGAATTTTCTTTATTTTGTGTTCATTCTTTTAAACTTTGTCTCAGAAAAGTGTATTGGGTATAGCTCTTTCATTAATTTTCCTGTAGCATACATTACTTTTACCTTTGGTGAAGAAACATACACTAGCAATGTAACAAAGAAAAAAAGTGAAGATAACGAACAGTGATCGATCTAAAAAAAAAAAAAACCTTCAAACAGTACAAATCTGTGAACAGCTAGGGCATACAAAACGGATCCCTGAAAATTCCAGAGGCGGGATCAGGTGCCTAAGAGGAGTAAGCATCCCCTGTTGACCGGACACACCTGCCTTAACTGATACATCCAGGAATAAACCCTGATCTCTCAAGTTGGCCAAAATATGCATTTAAAATTTTTTATGGGGATTAAGAGGAAGACTTTTTAAAAAAAATCTTTTAAAGAACAGTAGTGAACCATGATGTTAAGGATTAAATTATTTTCCTTGTCATAATTGTTTAGCCAATTCCCTCCTGCATGGTAGTATTTGAAATGCGTGTGTTTAATTTTCATGATTTATAAACTGAACTATATGTATCTGGATATAATTATAACTGAATTGCTTCAATTTTAAAGTTGTGTACAGAAGTTATAAAATCTTTCTGAAGTCCATAAGTATTGATTACAGATGGATGTGTTTTAACCATGCAGTAATTTCTTATTTCTTTATAGACCACACATAGTTAATTGATAATATTATTTTACTGTGATATAGGATGCTGTGAAAAATCAGGTATTCATGCAATGAAATTAATGATTATATAAGTGAGTTGATCAGTGAGTTAACCCTGAGTGCTTGCCTTATTTTAAGAGAGAATGACACTGTTCTTGCTACAGCTTTGACGTCTTCACTGAAACGAAATCGATTGCTTAACAAAATCATTATTGTTGCGCTTTTACATGGCACGGTGACATAAGTATTAAATTGCATTAAATTTGCTTTGTGGGTATGTTATAAAGACGAGTTACAGATGGATCGTTTTCGAATATGAGAGCTTTAATTTGTATTGTTTACTGGATTATTGATCTTGAATACTGTTCGTTATCTCCATATTTCATTAAGTAAAAAACACATAGCTATTTTAAGTGTGCTTCTGCATCATATGAGTTCATGTGCGCTTCTGTATATTGCACATTTTCATACAACTCATTTTGAATTGAATTTTTCTCTATAGTACAGTGTACTAACATCTGAGGTTTGTGTTAGCTAATTGCATAATTTTTTTTTACTGACACTCATTTATTTCGGAAGTGGTTGCTTAAATCTGTGATAAATTCTAAAAAGAAAATAAATGGATACAAAAGTAAGAACAATCTCACATATAATAAGATTTGGGATTTTTTATGTTCAAAAATTCTGTTTTCAATATTTGCCAAATATTGCCACTTTTTTTCATTTGAAAGCTCTGACTTGCAATGCATTTTTCAACCTTATTATTTTGTATAAATATGAAAGAAAAACTCCAGCAGGCTTGATAATTTGCCATTTTTCAGACATGAGAACATATATTGTTTTGTGTGCAAGATAAAAACTTGACTACATAAAGACAATGAAGCTCATTTGATGTAAAGCTGTTTTTACCACACTCTATATGTATTTTCATTATCTTGTCGATTTTCAAGTTTGTTTTTTTTTTTCAATTTTAAAAATTGATCTAAGTTTGTAGTAATTCTGAAAAATATGTGTCATTAATATGAGCTATACTATTCCTATTTTTGTTCAGGTGCTTGTTGAATATTCCGTTCATAATAGCATTACCTCTTATGCATATAGGTGCGGGAGATTTTGATTCGGAAGAGTTGAATATGATGGCTTCTAAACCTTCAAATGTGTTCCATGTTGATGACTTGGATGATCTGCGTACAATCAGTGTAGAACTTAATCTGAAGAGATGTAGAAACCAGAAATAGATGAAAAACCTAGAGGTAACAATCAGTGTAGAACTGAATCTGAAGAGATGTAGAAACCAGAAATAGATAAAATTTACAGGTAACAATCATTGTAGAATCTGAAGATAAGTAGAAACCAGAAATTGGTAAAATTTACAGGTAACAATCAGTGAAGAACTGAATCTGAAGAGATGTAGAAATAGAAGAAAAACCTAGAGGTAACTATCAATGTAGAACTGAATCTAAAGAGTTGTGGAAACCAGAAAAAGATAAAATTTACATGTAGCAATCATTGTAGAATCTGAAGAGATGTAGAAACCAGAAATAGGTAAATTTACAGGTAACAATCAGTATAGAACTGAATTTAAAGAGTTGTAGAAACCAGAAATAAGTAGATAAAATTTACAGACTACAAAGCGATACATATATGTCTTTTTTACGACTTTTATAGGACACTTGCGTCGCTCAAATGACCTATTGCTATCCGTACGGTACACATATAGTCATGGTTATATCCAAAAAAATTTAAAAAGAAATAAAAATAGAAAACAAAACAAAAAAAGAGTTAACAATTGTAGAGACTAGCTTTAGTTATACTTTGCATTTTTACGCATGTTAAGCAATATAATAAGAAACAACCCAATTTCTAAATAGATAGACAGATAGATAATAGAAATGGAGCAAAAATTTCCGTTTATTGACGTAGCAGTATATTTATGTCTCTCCACAATAAGGGAAGACATTGAATTTACTGCAGATTCTGTCTGTTTTTCTGCTCGTTACTATACTGTAAATATCGTAATCTTAGATCCATTCTTATAAAAAACAACTTTTTTGTATTTGTTATTGCTCACAGCCTAAGGTTATGTTAGGATTTTATTTCAAGGTCAGATAATCAAGAAGTTCAAGGTTTAAGTCAATGAGCTGTTGAAATCAAGCTTCAACTTTGCAACTCTTGAGTGGAAAGAATTGGAATGGGAGTCTATTGGTGCCATAGCTCAGAAGAATGATCTCGAGTCAATGTTTGTTTTAAAGGAGTACATGTAGCAAAATATCGATGAAAGAAAATGCCTATATATCTGTTTTTATAATGAAAACTTGTTTTTTAGGGAAACAAATCTATTTTAGAAAAAAAATGTTTTTTTTCTATTTTAGATTATAGATGCGTGTTGTACAGCTCTATCAAATCAAGTTACAAGTATTACTGATATACCAACAACGAGACTGGTGGAGAAAGTCACGTGATATATATGCATACTCTGATTAGTCAAATGCTCCTATCACATATTATTTGAATAGAATTGGCCACAGCGACATGATATCGAGTAAAGATATATCATCTTTAGTGTGCTCCAAGATTGTTATATTCATTGATAATAAAGTTATGTATTTTCATCCGCATGAACTACCAGAAGAACCATTGACTTAAAGTGTAGGCAAATATAGTTTGTTTAATTAATTCTAAGAATGGTCTACATTACGATACGGCTTTACAACTTATCAAAATACTACACGGGATTGTTGTCAAAGAATACATATTCTAATATTTGTTGATAGTATTATAACAGTCTTGACAGATGTAGTCGACATTATTCTATTAATATTCACATTCTGTAACCAGTTTTACAACCAAAGCTGCTTTTTTATACAACAGACGACTTGAAAATAATTTAAGTTGAGAGCTTAAGTAAATTTGATACAATTCAAAGTTAAATGTTGTAAACTATACATTCCATTAAAAATTAAATAATGACAATATCTGACTGGTATTTTGTTTTATATGTTTACGAGAATTCATCAAATGAGATTTTTTTAAAGATATTTTGTGTATAATTTTATTTCGTGGTTGAATGCGCATGTTGTATGTGTAACCCAAGCAGTGTTGTAGTTTACCTGTATGTTTGTAAAATATTTACCAATAAATGATTATTTACAAAAAATGTAATATTATTTTTGTTTTTAATTCACTTATATTAAAAATTCTGATTCCTGTGGGACCTCGTGGTGAAGAAGAGATGAAACATTGTCATATAGCAATCACGAACGACAAATAAAGTGTAAAACTTTCCCCATATTTGGAGATATTATTGTACAATTTTGAACGTTACTTAAAATTATTTTTTGTAAAATAAAAAGGAAAATAATGGTAGCCATAATTTTGTATTGTTTCATTTTTGAAGATTTTAAATTTAGGCTATAACTTATATTAATCATCCTTCTTAAATACGTTTCCTTTATATGCTCCTTAACAGGGCACATAATATGTATTATATTTCTCAAAGCGAGAGATTAACCAAATCTGTGCACCTTTTGAGAGGAATTGGGTTTATGGAGTTATAACGACATGATTCTTCATGGCCAAAGGTTCTCTTATTTTATCAAATAAATATTCAGTTTTGTTATATACAGAATGTTGAACATGATTCTTAGGTGATCTTAAAGCCCATAGGCCTCTTATTTTGTCAAATATTTAGTAGACGAAAAACATTTTTAGTTGCCAAAACTCCATAAAATATGTACATGTCCGAAATATATTCATGATAGATATTTTGGGTTTTATAACAGAGCATTTACAATATATATTTGGGTGAAATGACTCGGAAAATGTTGTTTTCGAATTTCCTAATAGACACGTTTATGGGCGATTGCACACGTACAGCTCTGTATTTAATGAGTTTAAATGCATTGTCTGTTGATAATGATCATACTATTCAGACATAACAACATATTCTCACGACCTTTCAAAACTATCAAAAATATAAAATTGAAATAAAAGGTGATTCCAGCTTATATAAATCGTTAGGACATGCAACAGATGTACAAAGATGAAGCAATTCAAAATCTTTTGCGTGTTTATCCTGGTCTTTGTAAGTATTTATCCTCCGATTTCTAACTCTATGTATCTTCAGCAACTCCTTTTACATTTACTTTTAGTACCTTTCTTTCTTAAGAATATTTTGTTAAGTTATACATATTCTCTAGAAAAAAAAATTCCACTGTTGATGTTAAATCGTTGATATTGTCGATACTTAGTGATAACAAAGATTGAAGGAATCCCATATCATTTCAAATTACTTTGTGGTTTTGTTTATTTGTTTGTTTGCTTATATTTGTTTTCTTTTTTATACTTTAATTTTCTTGTTTAAAGTTTGTTATTTGCTTAATTATAAATTAGTGCTCACACGTCACACTTACTAATATACATTGCCATCCTCAGTTAGTACTTGCGCTCGCCAAGAGGAGGGGATCTCGGTTAAAAATGAGAGATATTGGCTTCCAAGACCCCGAAGGTTTTCCAACAATCCCCGGCCCCCCTTGTCCCCCAGGTAAGTATTGTTCGTGTTGTCCATACAAATAATGTATTTGAATAAGAAATAAGCGGCCAAACTGACATTTATTTAGATTGAATGAAGCATGGGCGGATACAGGATTTCTGATTAGGGGGGGCGTGGATAATTTCGTTCAGGCAGGGGGTCTGGGGGCCGCCTTAAGGCCCCCAGTGGGTGCAGGGCGAAGCCCTGGTGGGGGCCCAGGGGGCGAAGCCCCCGGAAGCTCCTGGTTTTTCGTGAGTTTTAAGAGTAAAACCTGGCACAGAAATAGTGGTATTGATTAGTTATGTACACTATGATATTTCACTTTTTAAAAGAAAAAAATCAAACACAAAAAAAAAAAACAACCAAAAAAACAACGAACAAACAAGATCAGATTTTAAAAATAGCATTTTACCTAGATATACAAGAAGTCACAGAATGTTTTTCAAAGTACCGTGGTGTAATTTCGACCGATTATTTTTTTTTTATATTTAGATTTGTTCAAGTATGTCACTGCCTATTACATGTATTACGCTCAAGTTTACTGGATCCATTTTGCTTTGGAATACCTTTTATTGTTCAGATTACATTGTATTATATGTATTATTCGTCATGATATAAAATAAATGTGTTCGATTTACAAGATATGTGTGTTGGGTAACTTTGACCGCACACGGGGTATTTTCGATCGATGTGCAAATATAAACGAAATTATTCGCGTCATCTCTAATTCAAAAATATATAAATATATTAATTTAAATTATTCTGTTGTAAAACATGAAAGATTGTGAAAAAATGCTGACAAAAAAGAAGTTATTTTCAAAATGTACCTAATTTGAAGACATTAAGTGCACCAGGTGTCTAGAGACTGATTTACCGATTTGTCAAGGCATGCTACAAATGTATATCTAAACCGCATGTAAACAGAACAGATGATTTTGTCACTGTTATAGAACTAGTTTCTACGGAGTATTCTTGTACATAATACTTGTCCTAATAATTTTTTAATACGGACGGTGGTCATGATTTTTTTTTTCTGGTAACAAATAGCATTGCGTCATTTTCATTGGTGGAACTAGGTTACCCGCTGAGCCGTATTCTTCGACCGATTTCTGTTCAGCTGATTTGCATTTTATTTGTGAAAACTAAATACTATAAATTAAAAAGGTATGAATTTAAGTTGCAAATTAAATATAGTTGATAAATTTCACGCCAGGAATATCCACTGTGTCTTTCTATATATACAAGATATTTTCAGAGGTGATTAACTGATAATTCCCCGCAATGGTTTAAAAATACTCGTCCGTAATTTTTCGGGCGATAAAGTTTCTTCTTGGATGTAATTTTCCAGTGAAGAAATTAATTTCGCCTATTATTATCGACATTGATTTGTATATGAAAAATACATTTTCTTTCTGCATAAAATAGATGTGTACACTATAATGGGTTATAAACAAATTATTTTGAGGTATTTATGAACGGTCGAAATTAACCAGGTGGTCGAAGTTACACCATCCTAACCTATATCCTGACGTTAAATTTATTTAAATCCATTTATATGGAAAGATTATGAGATGTGTGTAATTAAGAAAGTTTGTATCCATGTAAGTAAATTACTGCATAGTTACACCATTTGATAAATAAATACATCAATCAGTGGACGGGTTTGTAACGTAGACCGTCTGATTTTAAATTCATTTATTTACCTTCGACCAGCCTTTAGATATTGCAGTATTTTTCCTTGCATCATGATAGGAAATTGACAAGTGCAGTCTACCCTTCAAACGAAATCGGTAGACGTTTTCCGGTTTGAATAATTATGAGATAATATTCATAGCCTAGGGAATGCAAGGTTTTCAGACTTGATTTTAAAAAAAAAACGATACTTGGTCATTAAATAAAATTACCATTTTTTAATTGACCATTAATTATAAAACCGAAGTATGGCATTATTAATATTAGTCATGTCATACTTTGAAAATTTTAGGGGGGGCGTGCGCCCCCCACGCCCCCCTTAAATCCGCCAGTGTGAAGAGTGTTTGAATAGAATAATTTCTTTTCAATTTTCATGGTAAAAATGAAAACAGTTGACATTAATTTTGATGGTTTGAAAAAAAAAATCATATTTCGTAAATTAAAAAAAGGACGAAGCAGAGAATTTTATCTTTATTTTGCATATTTAAATTAATGCAGATCCAATTTCTTCACGTTTTTTTTTCAAAACGTTCTACGTTCATTTTTTTTTTTTTTACAATGACTTAATGAAAATAGGAAGAAAAACTTATCGTATCTAATTAACAGGACATGTAGAGACCCCAGGATTTGGTCACTCAAACAGAATTTGTTTCAGTCCAGCACATGCAAGGGGTAAAGGTAATGTTCAATTTAGTATTTGCTTCATGGACTTGATTTTACTCTCTTCTCGCCATAAATAACATTTACGGGTATGTAAAAGATGAAAACAAACAGTGATCAATCTCATAAAACCAGATAACAAAACGAATCGTGAACAGAGCAAAAACACGGACCCCCGGTAACACCAGAGGTGGGATCAGGTGCCTAGGAGGAGTAAACATCCCCTGTCGACCGGTCACATCCCCAGTAGGCCCTATATATTGATCAGGTAGATGGAGTACCCCGTAGTCAAATTTAGTCTGGAAGCAATGACCCAAACATATCAGACAATATACAACTCAACGATATGTTGTATTTACAAAATTTTACCAAAATCAATGACATCAAAACGAACCTGATTCTTTTATATACTTCTAAAAGATTTTATCCATTCTGATAAAGTGTCCAGGTCTTCCCCTTTATCTTAGCCCATCGTCTGGCATAATCCTCCACGAAATTCGTTGTAGAAATGAAGTTCTTTCACCATTTGAAAGATCGGAGCTTTCAGTATTAAGGACTTTTATAATAATTGCTGTCAGTTCGTCATTTTCTTCACACGATGAATTGTTTTAAATTACTGCATTCTAATAAAAATGTTTAGTCTGAGAAAAAAACAACAACATACAAACCGGTATACATGTTTACACTTGTTTTAGTTGAAGTACCACAACCACCTTCCTTTCTGCCATTCAGTGATTACATCCCACGACCTCCTGGTGATAGAGGATTCCCGCCAGGGGAAGTTGAACCACCACACGCTCCAGGAGAAAAACCTTATCCGCACATTCACAATCGTAAAAAAATGAAATATTTTGTTTTTTTTTAAGTTTAATTTTATCTTTTTCTTATCTCATGTAATTGTTCTTTTGAGTTAAATGGCATTAGAGTGAAAATGGTTTAAAAGGTACTATTCTTCTTCAAGTAAATATTTGTAAAATGGGAAATATCCTTGACTGTCATAACATTCATTCTTTATAATATTACGTAAATAATTATTGTAGCTCCTATAGACCCACGACTGAAAAATCATCCTCGTAAGTCTCTCTCTCTCTCTCTCTCTCTCTCTCTGAACTGGCTGCACACTCACTATTATTTTTATGTTTACATAATTTTAATTTAATAATTGATCTTAAAATTGTATTGATTGATGCATGTTCTACATTATATACAAAACAATATGATGTCAGGCTGAAATCCGTGTTAGGTTTAATATGACTTACGATTCTAAACTTAAAATAAATTCAATAAGGGTACTCCATTTTATTGCAATATATAAGGTTTGATATATATTATATGTGATTGAATTTTAACAACTAGCACATAGGATACATAATATTTTATTAATTTTTACTATTCGAGATATACCATATTTGATAAAATTTTTGCCATATGAGATGTATCATATTGGGTTAATTTCTTTTGTTATATTATATGAGATACTTCACAATTCATTAAAGTTTTGCTATACGAGTAACCTCCATATAAATTTAAAGTGCAGGTGGATGTCTAAATTGGTGTTGGTTGCCAAATAATTCCATCGTAATTTTGCTTTGGAATTATATAATGCAAAGGATAATAAAAATAATGAATTTTGTTTTATATGAGATACATTTGTTTAAATTATAGCTACAGATCCTACAGGCCCACCGCCCATTTGGAGATAATAAATTTTAGGTGAATTTAAGAAAAGAAGAATTTTATCTGATGACATTGATGTTGTACAAAGTCAAAGTTGTGAGTGACCAAAAGGAAGAAGACGGAAGAAGCAACAGTATTTTGTAATAAATATACCATACTGAAACTTATAATTGTCTTTAAAATTAAACAATTTTTTACATTCCTTCTGCTTAAAATTCGACTTAATTTGCAAAAGACATATAATTTTAATAGCTGGATTTGTCTTTGAGCATCTAAGCTTTCGAATCACTATAATCTCATATTGTTTTGCTGAATCAAATTATCTCCATTTGTATTCTGAATGTATTTAGTATTAATTAAATATATATGAAGACCTCTCCAACTACTTGAGTGAAACACACTCAGCAACGGAAAAGTATACATACATGAGCAATTTTCCAAGGCATACATGTATAAATACTTTAACAACAGTAGGATATAACCATTTTCAGCAAAGGAAGTATATATATATATATATATATATATATATATATATATATATATATATATATATATATATATATATATATATATATATATATATATATATATACTGTATACAGGGTTATTTTCGCTCCGTGTTATTTTCACCCTTTCAAGTCTATAGGAAAAAAACTCCTCATATATGTGTCTCCTTATTTACAGATTTAAAGGTAACAATCATCACTGTGCGTCTTGTCCATATTCGAACAGAGGAGCTAATATATGAAAAGAAATGTTTTCTCCATAAGCTTCCCATTTGAAAATTTTGAAAGACACATGTCCTCGCATCATATACTTGTAAACTTGTAAAAATTAGAAAAATTTTCTTTCTTTTTGAATTATTTCTAAAAGGCTGTATTCTATAAAAAACCAACATAATAAATAAATATCGGATCATCTGTATATTGGAAATTCTTTACATTGTCCATTTTTAATAAAATAAACAAGGAAAAGTTGTTTGAAATATCTTTATATTATCTAAGTCTGTCAACAATGAATGCCATCTATCAATTTGCATCTTGACAAGTTGGAGCAGGATAAACAAAAACAATTAATTTCTGCACGTGTTTATGGTAATTACTACATGGTTCTGATTCACAGATATCCTCTGAGACATTCATCTTTCCTATTAAAATAAGAAAAAAAAGATTTGAACACCTTAAATTGTGATATCTCAGGATAGCCACGTTAGAGATTTCTGGTTAGTAGTTATAGCTCTACTGGTATCATAAAGAAGGATGTATCCTAGTATAGTCTACCTGTGTAAATGGTCTAATCAGACCAAAACTATAGGAGAAGTGTATTTTAAACGAATTTCAAGCTAACATCATTTGTTGAAATAAAAAACTGATGAAAAGAATATAGTATCTTTGTATAGTCTACTTGTGTACAAATTCATTGACATTGAACAAGAACTGTAGGAAGAGAAGCATTTTGAAAGAATTTCAAGGAAATTTTTATTTTAGTAACCATGGTAACACTGTTTGTTCAAATCAAAAAACCATAACAAAATTAGGTTTCTTAGAATAGTTTACTTGTATACCAAGTCGAATTGAAGTTAGGCCAAAACTTTAAGATGAGTAGAGTTTAAAAATAATTTCAAAGACATTTTTACGTTAAGTAATCATGGAAACAACGTTTGTTGAAATCAAAAACCGACGATCCGAATTATGTATCTTAGTATAATCTACTTGTGTACCAAGTCTTATTGAAATTGGTCCAAAACTGTAGGAGGCGTAGCGTTTAAAAAAATGTTTACAGAGCCAACCAGAACAACAGACACTTTACCATTGTTCAAGCTCTTTTGGTCTCTGACCAGTAGAGCTAAAATGTGAAGGAAAATGTGGAGTTCAATGGGCTTTTATTCAATAAATGTGCTTCTAATAATTGTGTAAATTTCATATCTGCAATGAAATCAATGTTAATTTGTTTTTATTAGAATAATATCTAAATTAATCTTCAAGATGTTATCGCTACTCAGCTATGACTTTCATGATAATAATATTTACTTTTTATGTTGCATTCACGATAGTGATACAATCCTTTGTTCACAAACTCTGGTCGAGAGCTCACTGGAAATGCTTCTCAGGGCCTGAAGATTGTTGACATAGTAAACATTATCTGGGCTACTAGCATAAGTCTCCAATTCCGTTCGATTGGCCCCCATCACACCTTAAAGTCGATAAATATAAAAGAAATATATATATATATATATATATATATATATATATATATATATATATATATATATATATATATATATATATATATATATATATATAAATTATTTATTTTGTAATATTTTTTGTAAGCAATATTTTACTTGCAAGTTAATTGTTGTTTATTAAAAAGTGTGAAGTGTGTTGTTCATCATTGATATCTATTAGATAGTTTGAATGTTATATAGTTATTGTTTACAAGAGAAATCTGTTAAAAAGTTTTAAGTGCATTGTTAAAAAGAGGCTTCTATTAAAAAGTCTGGGGTGTAATCTTTATTGCAGGGGTATCTGCATGTATTATGAAAATCAATTTGGTTATTGCAATCGAAAATTACGCTTTTGAAAATAGACGCGATGATAGAGTACAAATTTTGAAAATCGTGGGGAAAATAATGCTAAAATTATTCTAGAATACTAGCATACAGTAAGTGCTTACAGTTCAGTAACATATATGTAAAACACGAATATCAATTATAATCTTTAGCAATGGAAGGGTTGACGATACAGTACAATTACTGCCGGTAAAATGCATACTTGTCCTAAGATTTGCTTATTTGCCCCATATTTTTAACTCGATCATTTAGTAAACATATAAAGAAAAAATATTACTATATTTAGTGACTTTCAAAAAAAAAACTCTTTTAGATATATTCATTAATGAATACAAGAAAAAGAAATATTCATCGACTTTAATTACATTGGACGTTTCATATTTTTTTCTCCTTCCCAGTTGTCTATAATACAGAATTTTTGCTGTAGGAAGAGCAATTCGACGTATTAAACAAGCAATTTATGACATAAAAACAAAACGAGAAATAATTTATTTTTTTACCTATTGCAAAGATCAGAACACCGCTTTTCCTTAATTTGGCGGCTTCATCCCTCGCTTTGAATGGATTAGTTGCTTCTCCATCAGTAACCATCACTGCAATTTGGGGAACAAGGCGTGGTCGACCTCCTTTGGCGGGAAGGAATCCTTCCTGCATCTTTTGGAAGGCCAGATGCATATTAGTGTTTCCTCGTTCCCAGTTTCTACCATGGATTCTATTAAGGACAAGAGTTTTATCTACTCCATCTCTTAGTTCCAAAAAACGTGAAGCGCCAGTGCTGAACACGACAGCACCTACCCTCGTTTCATCTTCAGCAATGTCAAATTTCTCCACCAGGTCATTTACGAAATCTAGTTCAATGCTGAAGTTCTTCGGTGACCCGATGCTTGTTGATTGGTCGATGGCAAATATGACATCAGCAACATGCTTGAAACATTCTGATAAAAAAGATAAAAAAGGTACAACTGATGATTCTTACAGAGACTTACCCAAATTTTCAAAATTTAAAAATGCTCACCACTATTTAAAAATTGAATATCAATATTGATTTGTTTTTAAGCTTATAATTTGAGCGTAGTCTTATTTACCCTGAATCTCCTTTTGACAGATGAGATTTATTAGATAAATGACAAAAAGGAGTTTAATGCTTGGAAGAAGTATCACGACTCAATACAAAATGGAACTATTTAAAAATATTAATGCATCCATTTACTGTAAACCAACTACTAATCGCGTCATTTTTTATTCGCAATTTGTGAAAGTCCTGGAAATAATCTCTTCATTTTTAAAACACTCACAATCAACCATTTAGAGAAGAATTATAATGACAGTAGAAACGACATCGAATATTTTCATTTACTATAAAGTACATGTAATAAAAATTCTGCGAGAACTAAGTTTCGCAACTGAGGAAATATTTTACCCGAATACGTAATGAAATAAATAATCCCCGGCGAAAAATATTCGCAAGTAATGTATATGAATTAGATTTTGTCTTTTAATAAAAAAAAATCTATTTGAAAAATGTGTTTGTAATTCAAGGACTCAGTCTTCAACAAGTTAAATTCCTTTAAATCCTTCATTAATTCGAATTATATGAATCTTGTTTGAAACAGTATTTATGCATGGAATGTTAATTTACGAATCAAAAAAAAAAGTTGCAAAAGGAGTGAAAAAAACCTACATAGACACAAAAAGAAAAGTATAATCATACATTTCTGTTTTTCAAATAATAATGATAATAGGCCTATGTTCATAAAAATTGGAATATTAAAATTTCAGCAATCCAAAACAACATTAACTTTCACGAAGAGATTGTAGCGATCGTTTATAAAAAAAAAAATCTCTCAGTAAGAAACTGAGGAGATTGTAGCGATCATTTTTAATAAAAGTCTCTCAGAAAGAAACTGCAAATTCTGGTATACATATATGGTAAGAAAGTAATCTAACCGGTAATCACATATATCAAGTAAGAATTTATTTGTACTGAAAAACACTGTTCTTACCTTCCTCAGGTTTATTTGGTTTCACAGTTGTTGTCTCTCCAACTAAAACGAGAATTTTTTTTATGATTAGGAGTATTTTGATTTAAGTTTCACTTGAATAACTCGGACAATCAATATACTTGAAGAGAATATTTCTAATAATATTAGATATCATTCATTAACGAAATCAACATTGTCCGAGAGGTTTAAACAGTCACGTAGCATCGTTTTTCAAAGTGGAAGTGGATGGGCAGGCATAAAATTATTGACAGACAAAAAAGAGAGGGGGGGGTCTTTCAGTGAAAATTCCCATACCATATTAACATCATTAGACCACCACTCTCCAAAAAATTCGGAGGGTACCCTATCGATACTACTTGTCTTTAAAGTGTTTGTAAAATATGTCCCTCATAATTGCTTAACATATGTATCCTTTAACGGATTTTGTAAATCATTTAACAATGTATTTTACTCACAGTTTGGATAATGTTATATTTGATCGCATATTTCTTTTAAATGAACTATCATATAAATTTATAACAGAAATCTCAGTACCGTCACAGGTTTTCTTTGCCAACATGTCCTTCAGCTTATCCGTTTTAAATTCTCCGTATGTCGGAACTTTGATGACAGAATCGGGTTCACTGGCCATTCCATAGAGTTCCTGAAACACCAAGTATTGTTTTAACTCAGTATAACATAAAATAGTCCATAATCTCATTGTTTCTGTTTTGAAACACTTAAGCAACACAGAATTTAAAAAGACATTTATTTGAATGTAAAAAAAAAACTGGATAAGGAACATTCATTTCAAAAAATCAAATTGATTGCGTTATGCCCTTTACCTCATCAACAACTTTACCCCCGACACCAATAGCAAAAACATAAATGCCATTGTCTCTTGCTCGCTTAGCCTCCATGAGTGTCAACTGTTTCGCATCGTGTTGTGAATACGAATCTACCGAGCCTGGATTTGTTTCACCATCAGTCATAATTATGGCAATCTTCATTACATCACTCCTGGCACCGTTCTTAGAAGTAAAGATTTCATCATTCATGTACTCTAAAGCCTTGTAAGTTCTGGTTGCTCCACCCTCTGTCTGTTCAATATTCTGAGTTGCCCCCAGAACGCCGTCTTTGTCCTTATGGGTATTGAATTGAAATTCTGGTTTGATGATGTCACTGTAGGACACAGCTGCAATCTGGGTTTTGGTTGGAGAAATGTCAAAAAGGCTAAGAACATCATAAAGAAAGTGGACCTGCGTATCAAAGTTTGGTGGCCAAATACTGTTGGATGAATCAATCACAAAAGCTATGTCTGCTTCCTTGCTACAAAAATCTGTAAAAAAGATTTTATCTTATTATATTTTATTTAAAATGAAGGTAAAAACTTTTAAAAAAAAGGATAATAAATAGAGAAAAACAACTTACGGTCACATAATGCCCCGACCACGAAACTCTGTAAAAGATTAACAGAAGTATATGAAAAAAAAACTAAGGCTGAAAATTTGATGTGCAGTGTTAACAAGACAGAACTTTTTACCAGTGCCAACACAGTTTTCGTCCACATTGTTAATATCCAGCAGTCTAGACACTGGAGGGTACGTTATGTGTGGGCTCACCTTTAGAAAAACATGGCTTTTTATGGAGTTTGCGAGTTAATTTATTTCCTTTCGTGTTATTTTGAAATGAGATAATAATTGATAGTTGTTTAACACTAATTTCATATTTCATAATCACACCAATTTCATACTGTCATTTTCATTTTTTTTTAAATCCAAGAAAAAAATGAGAAAATTGACTTTGCCTTTGATTGCGGAAAATTGCTACTTAAAAGTACATTTAATCACTTTCAATCTGTTACCCCTTATTTTTGACAATAGTTGTAAATAAAACCTCATACATTACCATGAGTCATAGAAATTACCAATAACGTGGTGCCATTCTTCTTTCTGGATTTTTTGCTAAATGTTTGATGAACTTCATAACGATATAAAACTGATCATAAAAACACATTATTTACAAGTACTGAGCAAGATAATCACATCAAAAAGTCGGAAAACCGTTTAATACATGCATTCACAATAATTGAACATAGCAACATTCAGTAAAAATTCATGAAATAATTTGTCCAGAAATGCATTTCAAATAATTCAACAGCACATTTTTTCATAAAGTAAGTGAAATAAGTCTCACTTGTTAATTATTTTATGTAAAACTCTGCTGAGGTAAATATATCTCTTACCATTTTTATGGTCACAAGCTGAAAAACTCACCCTTTTTTGATTATTGAAATTGAATTTGTCGTTCACTTTTCATTAGGAACAAACAATGTGGTATAAGCTATAGATCACCCATTTTATATTAATTCATTGTAAAATGTGTATATAAAACCTAATAAAATGAAGCTCAAAAATGCAGTTTTAATCATAAATTGAGAGCAGAGCAAAAACTGACCTATAGAAACAATAAAGATGGGATCATGTGAAATGGTGGATTAAGCATTCCCTGTCGACCATCTGCCGTGAGCCCTTTGTCTTGATAGGTGAACGGAGTAATCGATGGACCGAATAGTACAAAACTATTGATTTTTAAATAATTTGTATTAAAGATGTCGTCGACATTTGACCTTACAAGAAATATATTTGCAAACATTTCATTATAACGATCATTGTAACGATTTGAGAGTTTCCGAAATATTGACATTAAACGAGATTGTTGATAACCTAGTAACAACAACTTATTGGTCAAAAGCTGTCTTGGTGTAAAGATTGTACTTAGAACATGTTCTTGTGTATCTAAACAACCATCTTCCCAAGTCAAAGATTTCTGATCCACCCCGCTGTACATAAATATGTAGAGCGGAATGGATCAGAAACCACTGATTTGGGAAGATGCGAAAACAAGTAAAAAATAAACACTATTCACAGGTTAAAAACGTAAACTGGTACATAGATAATGGAAGTTGACGTTCGAAAAGATAATTCATCAGGTTTTTCTTTAAATTTAGTTTACCATCAATGTCTCTCTAGTAAACACTTCCAAATATGAAACAAATGCGTCAGACTATGTGGGATCTTTTAGTCCGAAATCAGTGAGATATATAGAATCAATGTAAGAATAAAATAAACAATGTATATTGATCGTCTTTGTCGATATATCTAAATATCGAATTTAAGGTCCCAGCAAAAGACTTTTATCTAGAACTTTTTAAAAATAAAAAAAGCACAAAACTCCTTCTCTTGTTAACATTTGCATTAAAATTTTATGGAATTTGCAATATCTTTTATTTTATAATAACCAAAAGCAGAGCATTCAATAAAACTGCCAATGCAGCCTCATCTTCGATGTTTCTCTTGGATACTGCTGCAAACTCGACTTGACAGTCGACTGACAATTGATGACAACGCCTCCAAACTGTCCACACTAAACACATGCTGAGAATCGGGATCGCTGGACAATTCGTTCAGCTGCGACAATCTGGCACTCTTCACACCTTTAAAATTTATATCATTATCTTTTTATGTTTCAGAATAATATTCATACAATCATAATATATTGAAAGAAAGTAAACAATCACAGATCAAAACTATGTTTACACTGACTGTCACTGTATAAATTTTACCAATTGTGAAGATCTCCACTCCTTCACTTTTCAGCTTATTCGCCTCCGCTAAAGCTCTATAAGGATCGGTCGCCACTCCATCTGTAACAAGTACAGCTATTTGAGGAACTTGTTTTGGGCGGCCTCCATTTTCTTTCGAGAATCCTTCCCTCATCTTAACAAAAGCTTTATCCATGAATGTATTACCCCGTCCCCATTTTATGTCATGGATTCGCCGGATAACGTCGCCCTTGGACATTTCATCTTTGAGTTCGAGAACACGATCTGCTTCGTCACTGAAAACAACAGCTCCAACTCTTGTCTCATCTAGGCCTACATCAAAGTTCTTCACTACTTTAACCACGAAATCCAGTTCCAGACTGAAATTCTTCTCCGATTCGATACTGGTCGATTGATCAATGGCAAATATAACATCAGCAACTAGTCTGAAGCATTCTGCGTAATAAGAATATTTAAACTTTTACTCTTGTGATTCGCAGAATAACTGAGATATAACATGTTACCTGATTTTTTTTTCATATATAGTGTTTTTGTAACAGTATTTGACAAAAATCCCAGAGATAAAAGAATCTCTTACGTTCTTGAAGCGGTTCTAATGGTTTTTCTGTAGTCAGCTTTCCAACTGCAATATCAAATCATAATTAATCATATTTGAATCTTTATCCAATATTTAATCAGTAAACCATTTTACACATCGAAGACTCAATAATGTAAAATAACATATTTTCGATGGGCCAAATTTTCGTAGTTTGTGGAAAAATGTTGGTGGGGATTTAATTTCGTGTTTGAGGAAGTGTAGATTACTTATCTGCCATTTTACATTTCCTGGAGAAAATGTATCTTGAGTCTTTCAAAACAACCGTGAAAATCCCAAGAAAATTAGTGATTTCACAATAAAGTTCTACATATCAGTGCAGTTTCTTACAATATCTTACGTTCGAAGTGAATTTAAAATTCAAACCTGAACATGCCCTGTACGCGACTAGTTCCTTCAATTTATCCGTTTTGAATTCTTCATACGTTTTTACTTTTATTGCAAATTCTGCCTTTGGTTCGCTGGCAATGCCCATTATTTCCTAAAAATTTCAATAAATTAAATATTCACAGTAAATTATTTCTCACCAACTCGCTTTTACAATGCATGCTAAAAATGTATATTACATGTAATTTGAAAATAATGACATTTTTTCTTGAGAACGTATTTTCTTCATCTATCTACCATTTTAAGCATTGATTCACTTCAAAATTGTGTATGAGAACAAAAATTCTAAGAATTGCCTCATGTAGGATTGGCATACCATATAAAGTATAAATATCTTATATTGCATCGAAATTGTTTTGGTTTTACAAAAAAAAAAGCATTAAAGAAAATTTGAAAGTCTCCATTTCTTTATAAATTCATTTGTAAATTTAAAAAGAAAGAAAATCTTACAAAGAAATCCTTGTTTCATAGCACTACATTGCATTGTGTGTTATAATATGTTGTAAAAAATAATCTTAAAGACATGCCAATATTTATGCTTGTAACATGCACTAACTTTCTCATTAATTCTGCTTCCAATTCCAATAGCAAAAACATTAACTCCATTATCTTTGGCCACTTTAGCCTCATCTTGAGTCCAATTGATGGCGTCTTCTAGTGACAAGTCATTATCATGACCTCCCGGATTTGTCTCTCCGTCTGTCATCACAATAGCAATTTTAACAGCGTCATTTCTTGCGCCATTTTCTGAATTAAATATTTCCTCGTTCATGTATTCAAGGGCCGTATAGGTCCTCGTAGCGCTTCCTTTTGTGTATTTAATGTCTTTGATTGCTTCTAGAACTTCCATTTTACTGCTGAATGAATTAAACAGAAATTCTGGACTGGTGACATTACTAAACGATACAGCAGCTACCTGTGTTTTAGCAGGTGAAATTTCGAACATCTTCAAAATATCATAGAGGAACTTTACTTGTGTGTCAAAATTTGGTTTCCATATACTTCTGGATGAGTCAATTACAAACGCAATATCGGCCTTTTTGCTGCACATTTCTAAAAGGAAAAAAATGATGGCTAATAAAATCTATGAAAAAGAATGAATCTGTTAAGATTCTTTTAATAATCGGCAATTCTGTCTGAATATCTTTTTTTCTATTAACCCCCAGAATCAAAATACGAGGGGTGATCAAAAAGTTCGCGAACTAATTTAATAACTTCCTCAAAAGAAATGAAATGAGGTTTCAGTGTTTATTATTTTTTAAAGTGGTCCTCTCCGATTTTAATGCGCATCTGCCATTGTTCTGCCCATGCGCGAATCACGTGATCAAGGCGGTCACGTGACATGCCCCGTAGCGGTCTGTTCACAGAAGCTAAAAAAATTTTCGAGTCTTATATTTCTTACCATGTAAGTTATTTTTTATAACAAGAACAGCCCAATTGTCAGAAATTGACAAATCTCGGCAATAGGATAGGTGGATAAGGATATCCCTTCCCAGAATTAACATGGTGACCATCACAACCCGAGTCCTCTGTCTTGGGAGCGTCGTTTATCCAATGTGGATAAAGTATGGACGCCTTCTCTTTATCATATCTCATATGTTTAAAGTCTAAAGTAAACGATATTTTAGGGATTTAATAATCATATTATTGTTAAGATATTCAACTATTTTTCTAGTCGTAACTTGGCGATGTTTGATAACGAATTGCTCAACTACGGACACATCTTTTCCCCGGCTTGCTTTCACTGGGCAACAGAACAAACATTATTTTTAACCATCCCCCTGCCTTCACTAAAATAATCAATCTAATTAATGATTGGACTTCTGGTAAGTCTATTGTCTTCATAAACCTTGTACAAATTATCATATTCTACCGCAAAGGAATTTCCAAGATATAACGTCAAACTTCACAGCCCTTCGTTTCTCGAGTACGACTGAGTCAACCATTTTTTGTCACAAGTCACCTATATATTGACGTCATTTTCACTTTGTGACGTCACAAACACCTAGCAAAATATTATTTAACATAATTTGCTATTTATAGAACATGTGTATGACTATATGTTTGTCAAATTTCATTCTGATCTGAATTGTGGTTTTGTAAATATTGAGATAGTTCGCGAACTTTTTGATCACCCCTCGTACAATGTTGAAAAACTAACCGGTTTTTTGAATCTTCAGGAAGTCTGACATTAAGTTAATAAGAAGTAGACGTACTATGCTTTCTTTCATTCATTGGAAATAATTATTAATTGCAAGGCAAAAACTGCACAAAGAACCAAAGAACTATATAAATAGTCCATGTGTAATTTATATATTCTGCAATGTAAATTGCATAGAATTTTGGGAAAATTAATTCCTCGTGATGCCGGTTATAATATGTACTGTTTTTGAATTTAGCTTGTTAAATTCCGTTGAATAAAAGCTGAAAATAGAAGCTAAAAATATATAGTTCTAACCTTGAATATATACATATTTTTTAAATTATGCAGAAAAAAAGAAAATTCATTGATTTGTTTTATAAAATGTATATCGGAACTGTAGGTCTCTGGTTGAGAAAATTCGGACAGACAAAACTCTCTGGTTTGTCTGTCCAGATCTTCTCAACCAGGGATCTAAAGTTCTGCAGCTAGATCGGGGATGTAGATTAGGTTAATTACCGTTATTTATAAAAGGTATGTTGTTAAAACATAGTTATATATAGCGTTTTATTTATGGTTCTAATTAAATTTTGTCCAAAACTACACTTTAAGACACCACAAAGTCTACCACATCTGTTTCATATTTGGATGTTTTACTGACTGTAGACGAAAAGGACCAACTAACAACTACATGTAAATTGTATGACAAACGAGTTGGCTTCAGTTTTTCCATTGTCAACTTTCCTTATGTAGTTATATTCCGCTATCAACTGCATATGGTGTTTACATCTCCCAACTTATTTGATAATTAAGAACATCCTCTGAGTACGATCAATTTTTGAACTGAGGCAGGCTACTGACAGATAAATTGATGTTACAGGAATTTCAACCTTCTCGTATAATGTCAGCATTTCGTTAATTCTGTGGTATATAATGATCCTGTTAGTATATAAAACCTATCATTGGGTCGTAATTTTGGCTGATCTATTTTATACCAATTCTTTTATGCTAAATTTGACTAAAGAATGTTTCGTCTACCTGATCAATACATAGGGCTCACAGCGGGTGTGACCGGTCAACAGAGGATGCTTACACCTTCCATGCACCTGATTCGATCTCTGAAATTTCAGGGGGTCTGTGTTTTATGCCCTGTTCACAGATCTGTTTGTAGATTTTTTTTTTTTTTTTTTGATCGATCACTTTGTTATCTTAGCCTTTTTATAAGAAAAAAAAAACAATAACTTTCAAGATGAATTTTGTTTATTCCTTATTCATGAAATAAAATTGTAAATCCCTCATCAATCTTTAACGTATTAAGTGCATACACGTACATTAAATTCTTTAATAAATTCACAACTCACAGTTTTATTAATGTAAAATATTAGCTCTTAGTGTAAAAAATTAACCCTGAATGTTAAATAACGAAAACATTAACCACTAATGTAAAATAATTTTAGATAAAAGTTTGCATTAAAAGTAAATGATACAGAAACAACTTTTTGTTTCTCTTCTGTTACTTTCTTCTTTTGAAAGTTTCCCATTTATTTTACAAAAAGAAGAATAGTAATTGATTATTAAGGAGTGTTTCTTTCCACCATCCATCCTGGTAATAAGAGGCACTCGTTTAATAAGCTGTATATATCAGGATTTTGATTTTAAGATAAGCAAAATGTTATTAAAAGAGTATTTTAATTATAATAGATCGAGCATTTAAAAATGTTTTTAATATAAAAAGTACATATTTTTAACGTAACACTTTCTATTCATTACAAGTTTACAAATATGTGAATGATTCACATGAGAAAAATGATTATTTTCTAAAAAAAAAAAAAAAAAAAAAAAAATGTTTAAAAGCCTGTACTGAAGAATAGGAATTAAAAAAAAAATCGGTTTGTGATGGATCTGATATCATTTTAGTATTGTGTACTACTCTTGTCAAAGGAGGTTGTTCTTTTGTTTAGAATATACTTATCATATTGATATGATGCAATTCATTACTTTCGTCATTCTTATGCGATAAAGAATAGGATCTAGTATATTTAGACGTAAAAAAAAAAAAAAATCCAAAAGCCCCTCACCCATCCCCTAATTTTCACTGAAAAATGTTGTTATACTTCAATTTCTTTAAATCCGTCTCATTTTTAAATCACCAGTATTTTTCATGTATCAAGAAACGATTACATTTATATTTCTATACGTATATAAGAAATAATATCATTGACAGTGATGAAACCTCACCTGTACTAGACATTCCAATTTCAAACTTTTAAGAAAATTGTTTTATATTTCTACAAATATTTATACATTACCTTGTGCATCTGATGTCGTTAATATCTATAAAAAGAAATGTTTTGACTTAATCTTTGATACCCTATAATAAAATCGTCTGTTATAAGTAGACATTACTTTTCACATGGTATTTGCAGTACTCTACACACACCTGTCCATACACTATACATCATTTTCTAATCAGCCGTTATATACAAAATTAAAATATAAACTCACGCTCAGTAGAATAAGAGGATAAGGAGTCATGTTCCTTGGACAAACATACAGTAAAATTGCAAGGATATCATAAAGCTTACATGTATTATACAGGTCCTGTCTTGTGTAACTAATTGTTCCCTAAAGTACTTAACCCCTCCCTGATTCTAATTTTCCCCATGCGTACTTAAACCCTCCCTGATTTAATCATTATATTCAAATAAATAATATTTGATATGCTTTGAAGACAAAATATATGCATCTGAAAATAATGCAAAATTCAGAAAATTCATTATCATGGCGACAATCAAATGAGTGATAATAACGCCATATCAAAACTTTTTTCTCAGCGATGTGAATATTATATGCACAGTTTTAAAATTAACTAAACAAAAACTTCGCAGGATCCTGCTTTTATATATCAATGGTTATTTTTTTTATTGAATAATTAGATACAGAGTTAATAGTAAAGAAAAAGTAAGGTATAGTAAAGTATCAATCTTTTGAGAGATAATATTTCAAAATATATGAATTTTAAAAATTTCAAGATATCAAGAGAAATCGTATATTTCACAATATCTCAGCTATTAATATGTTTAGAAAGTTAGAGCTACAATATTTCACTGAAATTCTGTATTGCATAAGTAAAAATGTCGCAAAGTCTGACAAGTTCTACAGCAAAACTAGGATGCAGTTAGTCTCTGAAACAAATAAATGATTTGACATTCAAGCAAAAAATCATCAAAAGCTATGTAGTAGCTATTACCAAATCCAATTTGTAATAATGAGGTTCTTATGACCTACCAATGAAGTATAAATATAATACGATAATAACTTTCTATGTATAGGGGGTTTCAAAAGAGCAGAGTGTTGTACTCTCGCTTTCTCTCTCATATATCTCTCTCATATATATATATATATATATATATATATATATATATATATATATATATATATATATATATATATATATATATATATATATATATATATATATATAAATTCAAAATATATCATAATAATTATAATAATAAATATATAACATACATATGTACATATATATTAAAATCATCAAATTTCATTTTAAGCGGTATTTATTGTTGTAAAGTACAGGGATGGGATCAATTATATGTACACTAAAAAGTAATTAATTAAATCAAAATTACTATATCTTTTTCCTCAATTAAATTATAGACCCTTTAAGCTCGTAATTAATTAAATTAAAATTACTTTTCAAAAGTAACTTATTATATTATATATTTTATATTTTCATTTTTGCATTTTTTTAGTAATACATGTAAATGTATACAGAAACAGTATAATCAGCCACTGGGCTAACATGAAATCATATGAACATAATTTGCATATTATGTATTTACTTTTAAAAGAACTTTACAGAATCGTCTGGGATTAGTTTGAGAGCTTTTAATGTTTGTTTTCTCAACACAATACCTACATTAAGAACGTATATTACATGTATATGCCCTCCCTTGAATCTTTGAATAAAATCAAATCCTTTCATATGAAGGTAAGCACAACACCTTAAAATGCAAATGTTGACTATTTTCACACAATAAATTATATATGTAACTATTTAACTATTAATCCTAAATAAACATTATGATTATCATGCAATAATCTAATATCTAATAATATTATAAATGTGGCAAATCACAATCACACGGAAATCCTTTTTATTATTTATTATGACGATTAAAGGCAAATAACAAATCCACAACGGTTAACAATCACAATACCACATTGGCTAAGATATTCTTAATCTTTGTTTTCAATATAATCTCAATCTTTTTCTCAATCTCAAAAACTGTCACTTATATACTATGAAGGAAACATCTAGAAATAGAAAGTTCTGTAAAATTCTAGGTCATCATATTCTCACATATTCTAGAGAATTCTTGATTATTCATTCAAGTAATATGTAGAACATTCTAGATTTCACATAATTAAATCAATTCATTAAATTTCTATAAATGTTCTTGAAATTGCGACTGTTCGCAACAATAAACAAGCGCCTAAACGCTGGAAAGTCTTCTTCTATTCACAATTCCAATTAGAGACATCATAAATAAAAAATAGATATAAATATACTTGGTTTACAAATAAATTAAAGAAACTTAGTGAAGTGTTTAAAGAAATGCATCTACAAACCAAATAAATATAGCCCTAAGGCTAGAAAATGAACATAGTTTTAAGGCATGCAATTTTCATAGTGGTGCAATTTCATACAAGAAAGTTTGAAATTAGAAATTTGGAAGCTATGAGGTTATAAGCTTTTATGATAAAAAGCACTTCTATGAAAGCTCTATTCCCAACAAATCCTACATTTCTTCTGTAAGTTTTAACAATTTCCAACACAATACAGAATAAATTACATGTACATTTGTAAATGAATTTGTTGCTTAGAGTAAATTCAAAAAGGCCTGCAATCCCTATTAGATTAATTTTTAAAGATTTTGACAATATTACCTATGCATGATTGATTGATTGTATGTTGTTTTACGTCACGTTGAGAATGTTTCACTCATATAGAGACGTCACCATATACCGGTGAAGGGCTTAAAATTTAGACCTTTACTCGGCACTCAGGCCCATTGAGCAGTGAGGGTTCTTTATCGTGCAAACGCCTAACGTGACACTGAGCTTCAGTTTTCAAGGTCCATCCGATGGATCCGCAACTTTTACTTCAGAGTATCGAGCGCCTGACGAAGGAGCAACATTTTTAATCTTTCAAAGCTCATTTAGTTATGTTACAAATAATTCTCTCATATCTTTTGCATGTAATCTCGGTTTATTTAATCTTTACAAATACACGTGTTCTAAAAATAACAGTGTTCTAAGACTAATTTTCAAAATTTTGAAACATTCTATGATGTGAATAATCTATACTAAATTTTTACAAGAGGCACATGGGCCACATCGCTCACCTGAGCACATTGGCTAGGCAAAAGCACAAATCAGTTCAGTATTGAAAAGATTACTGGAAGGGGGGGTCTTGAATTTTAAACTACCTGATGATGCTTCCATGTCAATATAACGAATGGCTTTGTTGTACTTGGGAAGATTTTAAAAAAATTTTCCCATATATTCCTTTGTAAAAATTTGATCCTCCATTGTGGCCCCACCCTACCCCCGGGGGTCACGATTTGAATAAATTTGAATTTACACTATCTGAGGATGCTTCCATATATAAATGACTCATCATGGTTTTGCTGTTCTTGAGAAGAAGATTTTTAAAGGTTTTTCCTATATATTTCTGTGTAAAACTTTGATCCTCCATTGTGGTCTGCCCTACCCCCCGGGGTTATGTTTTGAACAAACTTGAATCAACACTACCTGAGGGTGCTTCCATACAAATATGACTCATTATGGCTTTGCTGTTCTTGAGAAGAAGATTTTTAAAGGTTTTTCCTATATATTTCTATGTAAAACTTTGATCCTCCATTGTGGCCCCGCCCTACCCCCAGGGGTCATGATTTGAACAAACTTGAATCTACACTACCTGAGGATGCTTCCATATAAATATGACTCATCATGGCTTTGCTGTTCTTGAGAAGAAGATATTTAAGGTTTTTCCTAAATATTTCTATGTAAAACTTTGATCCTCCATTGTGGCCCCGCCCTACCCCCCAGGGTCATGATTTGAACAAATTTCAATTTACACTACCTGAGGATGCTTCCACATGAGTTTCATCTTTCCTGGCCCTGTGGTTCTTGAGAAGAAGATTTTTAAAAGATGCTATTAATTTTTCACCAATTCTTTATTATCTCCCCTTGGAAGAGGGCGTGGCCCTTCATTTGAACAAATTTGAATCCCCTTCACCCAAGGATGCTTTGTGGCAAGTTTGGTTCAAATTGACCCAGTGGCTCTGGAGAAGAAGTCGAAAATGTGAAAAGTTTACAGACAGACGGACGGACTACAGACAAATGTAATCAGAAAAGCTCACTTGAGCTTTCAGCTCAGGTGAGCTAAAATACATTGAGGCATATCACACATAAAATTTAACAGTAAGAAATTAGGAACATAAACAACATAAACAAGAAGAAAAACTGAAATCCTTATTACAATAGCTTTTCCAATCTTTCAACAAATGTATTTATATAAATACACGTTTAAAACCCAAAAGATAGTTTCAGTTAAAAATTACCCTTGCATTTTTAAAAAATAAAATATTGCAGGTTTTATATTTTGTATTATGTTGAATTTTCAGGTATCTTGGACACGGAAATATTTGTCAATTCAAAAATTGTTCTGAACCACGGTGTAATTTAATCTATTATATCCTTAAATATAATAGATATCTAATAGACCAAAAATACAACACAAATAGGTGAATTCCATGGGAAAATTAACAAAAGAGAAGATTCTTTCAAGTAAATTATGTACAACGGTTCACAAAAATGCAACAAAATCGTTCTCACTAAAACAATAACAAAGGAATGCACAAAATTCTGAATTCACACGAACAAAAAACGGTTAATCTATAGTAAAGAGTGTACAGACTATCATTTAATCAAAGTACTCAGAAGTACAGAGAGCCGGGCTCATTTACAGAGTAGTGAACAAAGACAGTTTTACATGAAACATACATATACATTGTTAGAACAGTTATATTAATATATATAGTTATAGTAAACAACAAGTTTAGACACTGGAAGAATATGTAACCAAAAAAAAAATATATTGCATATAGCATAAATATAAAATGTTTAAAAAAAATTAATAAAATGTAGTTTGAATTTAACATTTTTTTATTGTTTGGGGTCCTATACCACTTACATAAGTAAATGAACATTGATTCAGAAGGTCAAACGTTTATGTACAGATGAGTCCTCAGCAGGGAGTTTTGCATCAAGGTGTACATCGGGTCACGTGCTCCCCGCATCAGTGTTAGCATGGTAACACAACCTTTATATATAGAATGTGACCCAGACAAGGAGATCTGGTGAAAGTCTTTCGCATATTTCTAACAAATAATAAATCGAAGAAAAATGGAGAAAGTATATTACCATTAATGTTTTTTAGAGAAATTCTTTATTAGTTAAGT